AAATCCATCTCACTGTAAAGATTTGTCAGAATACAGATTAAATGCAAAACAAAGGCAGCAGCATTACCTGAAATGAAGCCATCAATGTGAATATGATATTTCCTTTTTGTATTGCATCAACTTTTCGGGTAGCAAAGCTTTTCCCATCGCGTATTCGTTGAACTTGGTATATAATTGGCACTACAAGAGTATATGAAAACATACACCATGTGTAATATCACTTTAGCTGTTATGCTCCACTAGCAGGATTATAAGCCCAGATAAACATGTTTGAAAAAGGAGATCTATTTATGCAACCTGTTTATTTTCTTTTTCTAAGAAACATATGGCAAGGATTCCCTCTTCAGGAATAATTGACTGGGAAGAGTATAATCCCTTACTGAGCTTGTGTCAGGAAGTGCAAAATGATTACATATATACTGACCAAACATATCACTAAATAAACAGTCTCTCCCTTAAAGATGATGGACTGAGAAGGTAAGGCAAGATGATCTAAAACTTGACAGGAAAAAAAAAAGATTGAACAAGAAGGGAAAGGCATTATTGATGCAAAACATAGGCATTGCTGGTACCTGACTATCAAATGTTATGAAAAATTTCAATTGAACTATAAACTTAACCTCTACTTTATTTCTTACTTTATACTTATCTTCTTCTTTTCCAAACAAGAAGAAAGTAAGTAATTTGAAGGTCTTTGATAGGATTAATTTGTCTTTAGTTGAAGGTCTTTGATAGGATTAATTTGTCTTAGACTCTAGAGAACAAGGTTGTTTTGCTGTTTCTTGCAGAGCTTGTTGATAACTTAGAGTAGAGGCTGGATGCAAGTGAATTTTCACTCATTTCTTGCAGCATCTATTAGTAGAGAGAACACACATATTTGCCTACCAAACAGGAAAGGATAACAGAGTATGAAAATTAGTGGTTGTATCTCCTAGGAGATATTGCAATTGTTACATGAATCATGAAGTTTGAATAGAGGTAACCTCTGAGCATGACAAAACTAAGGGTAACAGAATCAAAAGTGCATGAATTTCTATTCACAGATTAGGCATCCCAGGTTATACTTACTGTCAAGATCCCCAATAAGAAGAAAATAAGCATGCAAGCTATGAACAAGTTTAAAGCAATCAACTGTTTTTGATGCTGCAGCCAATGCCTGCACATAACATCAAAGTGTAATAATGAGAAAAGATAGCTACGTTTCTGTCCTCAAATTAGAGCACTTAATGTACCGTTGAAACAGGGAGTAAAACAAAAGAGTCAGCTTTGTATTAGCTTTATATCAAGAATGCAAAAGTAAGAATGCTGGTTTATAGAGGATAAATGAAAGTTGAATTGATAAAAACCAAAAGGGATAAATCGAAGGAGTCGAGTCCATTTTTTTTTCCGCATAAAAGTGGATCAAAACAGTACTTGTTACACAATGAAAGCATGATGTGGATTGTGTGTCCTCACCACAACCCATTTCATACCTGTCCAACAAACTGTCCTCCAAAGACCTTTCCAAATCGTGGGGCATCTGGCAGAGTAATGCCCTGGAATATATTCACCTTCAAAACACACAACAAAATCTTAGTCTAGATTCATACCAATTCCTTCACTAACCTGTCACAGGGAACTCTAGAACACTCAAAGCAGAGTAGAATGTTGTATTCATTAACCATAATTCTCAAAGAAAGGAAAATTATACTGTTAGAGCACAACTTCAATTTTTCATTGTTTCTGTTTGTCCATTGAATAGAAGTTAAGAGCTTCTAGTTTCACCTCATTTTGGCTCACTTAAGAGGTGAACTGGCCATCATAACATATATCAAATTCAGACACATAAACATTTAAATACCAGGAAGCACAAAAATTATCCTTCTGCATTTTCTGATAAGATAACAAAAGTCGAATCCTAAATTGAAAACACCTCAAGGTGCAGGAAGAACATACTTCTATTGACTCCAAATGCAATATGCTCTCCACAAGGGGGCAGGAGTCGAGTGTCTTGTCTGCATTCCATATAGATTTTGGTTGAAGCAAAGTGCAATGATCATGAGGTAGCACTAAGCAAATTAGCTGTCAAAACAGACCCCGGATTAAATGCCCGCTGTCAATTTCAGTTAAGTCCCGTTTTAAGTTTAGCAAGATAGATGTTTGAGCAGCTGGGGTTGTATATCAGAGAAGAGAAAGTGAGAAAACAAATACAGTTGCAGCTTGCTGCTACCTTAGTCAAAGCAATTACATCTGCCTGCTGACCAGACGCAGACAAACCTGCAAATAACAAGTTAATGTCACTCTTCCAGGCCTATTAGATTCACTATTAAAGATCATAAATTGTTATAAACCAAGCGGTATCACACCTAGTGATAAGAAACATTAAGAAAACATACAATTGATACTTGACTAGTAGAAATAAAAAACAAAAAAAAGATTGTATCGCAACAACAAAAGGTCTAAGATTGTAACCAAGAAAATCATCATCTCACCATCACCAAAGTAATCATATCGCTGCAATTGAAACTCAGGACGACCCTCGTCCTCTTCATTTACTGTTCCACAGACTTGAGCCTATAAATCAGAAATTCCAACGATCAGCCAAAGTGGCTAAAAAATAGAAGGAAAGAAAAACAGAGAATTAACAATAATAACTGCTTATGATTAGTTATAAAGCAAACCGACCTCCCCTTTCCATATAAAATAGATTCCTTCCCCAACTTCTCCCTGACGAATAATATACTGTCCTTCCTCTACAGCACAAATCATTCAAAATGAAAAATTTCTTTAAAACAAATAAACACAAGATAAAACACAGAGAGAGAGAGACAGTTAAATTCTCTTAAAGAAGTAAAAATTACCATAGCGTTTAACAATAACGAGCTCCGCGATTTTCTTGAGAGACGAGCTAGGCAACCTCTGTAGCAGAGGAACACCTCCTAGGAACTCCGTAGCTGCAAAAAAATCTCACGAAGTTCTTTCGTTTTTCCCGCATTTTCTCAGCAACCAAACAGAAATCAGGGGTTTGAATAGAATTTACCTGATTCGATGTCCATAGAGAAGTGTGAAATGGTGAGAATTGGAGCAGAAACGTGCGATTATGGAGCTTGATCAGATCTTTCAGTGCGGTAACGTTCTAAGATTGATGAAGGGAGAGGGGGGTGGCAGGGTTAGATAGAATGCTTTTCAATGAATAGAATTATTGTGCACTTTTATACTCCAGCAAATAGATAGACAGAGAGAGGCGAGTAGCCGCAATACAGTTGCAGGTAATAGTCGGGATTTTCTTTGAACTTTCCCGGTTTGTTTGTATTCAATGGCCAACCAGAGGCGACAAATTTGGGAGATGGAAAGGGGGCCCGCGTGTTGACCTAAAGAACCGTGTAAGAAAACACGTGTTTCATTTTACTAATTAAAAAACGGATACTTAATAAGAGGCGTTCACGGTATGATAATTTCAATTAACTATGAAGGCTATTTTGCCCAATTGAAAAACCAGTAGCCGTCTGGTTTTTTCTACATGATTCATTATATAATTGGACAAATCAGTTTCATCATACTTTTTTTATACTAAAATATAATTTGATTACTTTTAAAATAAAAAAAAACACTAACTCTTTATTTTTTTAAATATAATGAAATAACTTTATTAGCTTTAAATTTTTTTAAAAAATTAAGCAATTAATTTTCATCTTTTTATTATGATATTTTTTTCTATAATTATTTTGAAGATTAGGTAAATTAAAAATTAAAAATGTTATTAAAAAAATATTTCACAACGTTTAAATCATCTCATCTCACGTTTAAATCATTTCAATAATCTCAGGAACCGGTAACCACTACTATCATCATGTTTATTTTTATATTTCAAAAATATTTTTTAAAAATTTAATTTGATTTAATTTTATATTAATATTTTTAAATTATTTTAATGTATTAATGTTAAAAATATTTTTTTAAAAAATATATTTTAATATATTTTTAAATAAAAAAACATTTTAAAAAACACATCTTCATAAAACATGTATAGCTAACAAGCTCCTAGTTTGGGGTTAATAACTGTTTTCTTTTCTCTTTTTCTTCTCACTCTCAATTTATACAACACCTGACTTTTCAAAAACTTGGAGAGGTTATTCAATATATTTTCCCTTCATATTTGATTCATAAGTTGTCATTATTATTTATTTTATATTAAATAATTTATCAAAATAAAAATGCTTTTCTATTCCATTCCCTGCAGAGGAGAAAATAGCATGTTTCAACCAGAAAACTTCACCAATAACAAATCGACAAGGTGTCAGCAAACTGAAAAGTAAAGTCCAATCATCATCACTCAGAAATTCTTTGCGAGTGAAGGTAATCAGGTTAAATGAGTACGTAAATCACTTTACCTTGCTCAAAATGTCAAGAGAAAAGGTTAGCCTTTTGAATTTGGTAAAAATACACGTAAATATGAACTTGTACCGGACCCTTGCCAGCCCCAGAAATTCAAAAATCAACCAGATATGAACATGTGCTTCATGCCATGCCAGGTCTACTGATATAATATCTGAATCTGACCAGGGACAGAAAATTAGAGACAAAGATGCAGTTATATTCAGTTGCAGAGAAGTCAGCAGTCAACTTTAAGAATCTCAAGATGACAACTGGCGAACTAGTAGTAGATGTAACAGCGACAAATATTTTGAAGCTGATAACAGGAAGCAGCGAAAAACAGAAAAATCTCTCGGGATCAGGAACAGCGAGATGGTGTATATTTTATAATCGCTATAAGATCTGACCAGAAAACAGAGAAAATTTGAAGAAAAAAACCCAGCAGTTTCAGAAAAGACTTGGTCCAGACTGTAAAATAACTTGGACACCAATCAATATCAAAAGAGAACAGGAAGAGTAAAGCATTTCTCAATCACCCCAGAACTCTTAAGAGATTCAAGGGCACAATCAATTTCTTCTTTGCTCCACCTCCTTCTGCCCTGGATGTGGGAAAATAAGCCCAAGAATATGTTACAAAACCTCATAGAAACAGGAACTTAGAAGAAAGTAAAAGAGGCAAGATTTACAATATTTTCCTTTCCAGCTTCATTTTAACAGCGCAAACAAAGGCAATGCTAAAAGTCAAAACACGCAAGCCATATAAAAATCACACGACAGCCAATTACCTTATCTTGTGAAAAAACAGATAAAAAAAGCACTCTCTTGGGTCTGCAATGACTGCCAATCTTTCTCTTTACGACATTCAATGCTCAGTTAGAAGTTGCATGATGCTCTTCTCATGAGGACCAAAAACCAGTAGCCTCCCATGGAATCCTCATAAAACTTTCTCTATGCTCTTCTAAGTTATTAAAACTGTTAAGCATACATCAATAATCAAAAGACATAGGAACAGTTACGCAAAATGAGGGGTTTTTTTTTTTGCAGAATGCCATACAAATGGTAGTTTATTCTAGCTTCCAACAAAAACATATGGGAAGTTCGAGGGAAAAAAATGATTAGTTAATTCAAAACACCAGCAGTAAGTGATAATTACAAAACACAATACCAAAACCGAGTTGAAAAGCGAGCAATATACAACACTGGTTACATGTATCAAAAGTAACTGGAACCAATTTCTCCACCACTGTATGTCCCTTTTGTTCAGTCTATGTTTGGTGCAATCACCTAAAGCTAGAAACAAAAACAGCGCATTACTCTACAAGTAGTTCATCAAAATATATATTGTAAGCTGCAAACACATGCTAACAATAAATTGTGGCAACAGAAGGGCAAGCAAGCTTCACCAGAATAGATATCAATGCCACAAATAACGATTGCCATCACCTATCAACAATAGTGCAATGGTTGTTAGTCCATAGCATTGGCGTAACCAATAATAGTGCAATGCATAAGGCTTGGTCTATTTCCATGGACCCAAACCTAAACCCACAGATGTTTGTGTGTGATAACGAGAAGCCGGACATCAAATGCAGAAGTTTGTGGAATTTAGGCTTTGAGTGGATAAAATGATATTTGCCATGACAAACATGCTTTTGGAATGCAATTGCAGTTTTTGACGTGTAGCAAATATGACATGCAACACTCATTGCGTGCCTTTCTTAGGAAATCATCATTGTACTACTTTTAAGTAAAAAATCAAGATGAAATATTGCTGAAAAAACAGTGCTATGGTATCATTAGAATTATGTTAAAATTAGACAAGTTCTTTTCAGCAATTTTAGCTTTCAAAAAAATTACTACCAATATAGCTGTAATTTCCATGCCATGCCAGTTTGGAATCACAGATGGTGCCAATCCAGAATAAAAAAGCATGAAAGAAAAATTTTCTATCATTTAAGATTCTCAAAAAAATTGAAAATCCAACCCCGCAAACTTCAAATCAAGTTGATTTAGTGCACTTGATCTACTAAATGAGACCCATCATACGGTATATCTTGATATTTTATAACTCCAATATTACATGTAACACAAGAAACTAACAACTAGTAAAGTACAATTGCAAGTTGTATCCCTTGAAATAACATGTGATATTTAGCCATGTAAATAACAGGAAAAGACCTACCATATGATGAGTCTCATTTAATAGATCAATTATACTAACAATCAGCTCAACTTTCCACAACAATAACAAAACCACAAAGTTAAACTTTTGATCAATAGATAAAACTAACCTCATTGTTAAAAGAAAGAGAGGAGCCAATAATCTGCCTTGAACCCATCTTGTCAAATTTTGGCATGGTGTAAGATTATATAGATTTCCTCTCTTAGTCCCAATCACTTTTCCTCGCATGGAGGCATCTTAACAACCAGTAATATAAATAGTATATTAAAGATTGAAAACAACTAGCAAAAAAAATTATGTTGTTTATAAAATGGATGCAAGTTTCTAGCCAAGGAGTATATTTCATATTTTCAGGGGAAAAATACACAAAAACTTGTTCCAGGTGTTGGGTTTATTTGGAAACTTCTGCCAAGTCTACTTGTCATTGGCAAAAGTCAAGCTTCACTTTGAGCATGGCTCATCATTATATCTGATCATGATTATCCTCTATAATACATGTTTCCATGTAACTTGGATACACCACATGAGCTAGTTGAACCAAGTACAAAAAAAAACTTTTGGCTTTGGCATTGAATGTTACTAAATGGTCTAATTCCCACTTAGACATCTAATGAATTATAAAGCAAAGAGTTTGCTTTTATACTTGGTACAACTAGCTAGCTTATAGACGCTAATCGCATCTCAAATCCACCACATAAGATAGTACCAGGTCTAAAACCCAACACTTTGGCTTTCTCATTAGATGCCCTTTTCTTGTCTTAAAACATCTAATGAATGATAAAGCCAAAAGATTGGCTTTACACCTAGTCAAACTAGACAGAAGACACTTACACATTGCTGAGGCCATCACGATACGAAGACCAGCTCAGTGATCAAAACTTGCATGTTCCCAAGCATGAAAACAGAGCATAAGATAATCATAAATTACGCCAGCAATCACAAGCATTATAAAAGCAGGTCAAACCAAAATACTCCGTGCATTCAACCCAGAGACTCCAATAGTTTATGCAGAAAACAAGACTGACAAAAGCAAGCCAGATAATTGGAAACACATCTTACTTCGTACCATTTTCTGATAGTCAATGCAGAAAACAAGACTGACAAAAGCAAGCCAGACAATTGGAAGCACATCTTACTTCGTTCCATTTTCTGAGGCTTTCTGCTCATCACGGCTTTGTTCTGGACTCCATCTCGTGATTGTGCACTCCTCAATAGAGCATCTCTCCAAACAAGATGGAGCAATAGCACCGTGACCATTTTTTTCAACATTGACCATTTTTTTCAACATTCAAAACTAAAAATGTTTTCGCAACACTTCCACAAAGTCTGTTAGTGCACTGGAAATCAGAACACACCCTCAATCTCCCAACATCCTGACAAAACAATCACAGCATATTCTGAATGTACCAAAGATGGATGATGCCGGTAAGCAACGAAATCCACACCGTACTGTAATCCTGGCCAGAGAACCCAATTTTTCGTACGAAAATGGAAATAAGCCTCATAAAAATCCGGGAAATTTCCCTTTTTCAATTTCATATGCAACCACAAATCTAAATCATTTTTAACAAAATTATCTTCACCAGCAATCTTTAAACATTTTAAAGAATAACACAAATAAAACGCTTCCTCCAAACCCAACTGAAACCATTGCTTATCTTTTTCAGCGGCAATTGTGGGTTTGCCAAAACATGCACGAGTGAGAAGTTCAGTCTGTTCTGTTTCCACTGCAAGAAGCACACTACAACCTGAGAGCGACGCACGAGCATTTGACTGAAGAAGAGAAGACTGAAGCCGTGAGACTATTTCTGACACAGGATCTTCTAGTGCTTTAGCTTCTGCTCCTTTTCCTTTCCATCTTGGCCCCATTTTTCAAAGAATAACACTTCAAAAATCCGAACAAATCAGACAGGTATATAAGCTTTAAGAACCAAGGGACACAAAGGAAATAAGGTTTGTGGATTTTCTCACTTACCAAACAGAACAATTTCCCAGAAAATCCACCGTGAGAGACGAAAAAAGAGGAACGGTTGCAGCCAAGGAAACCTTTCGGGCTTTTCTCTCTCAGTTGTCTCAGACTTCAAAAGACTGTTGTACTCTGAACTAACTGTCAGTAACAAAAATAAGCGTTGAACAGTAAAATGGTATACAAGTTTAGGGTATTTTCTGGCTAATTGATCGTATCAAAACTAGATTTACTTCTTCCATCTGATCAAAAGCTGTCAAATTGCCTTTCATGACAAAAAGAAGAAGTAGATAAAGGAAAGGAAAGGGTCAATTTGCCTCAGGACTAGAGCCCATTAAATAGTAAGTTTCTTTGCACACCTTTTCCACTGTAAATTGCAATATTTCTCAAACATGTTGACATCGATTTCTAAAACCTATTAAAAGAAACTGATTGCTGATTGAGGTTGGCCTCATTTTATAGGACACTTTGTGCTTACTTTTTTCTATTTGTCCCCTGTGAATTATTAATGCATCTCAATATTGCTTAATTCTTTGATACTTGTGGTTTCGAGAATTATTTCTTTTTTCTTTTTTCTTTTTTCTTTTTAATTATTAAACTTGTTTTTCAAGTTAGGTTTGTATAGAGGATCTACAGGTCCAAAAGAAGGGTTGCAGTCTACGTATCTATAAGAAGGGATGAATAGGAATGATAACGAATACTCACACGTATCAGGTTTTAGTACCATCCACACTCAAATTTAAAATTATTATTTATATCCAGTTAAAACATGTCAAGTACGGATTTTGAATATTTAGATTGTGTTTAGACATGTTTCATGTCCAGTTAAGACATGACAAGTATGGATTTAGAATATTTAGATTCTGTCTAGAAATACGGTAAAAATTATATTTATTTAAGTTTTAAAAAGATATTTATTAATTTTTTTATACATTCCTACATAAATTATTCAGGGCTAGCTATTCTCAATGCATTAAGGGCAAGTGCTTAGATATTCAACTTGCTGCATATAAGGAAACTACCCCTTTCTCATGGCATTCTTTTTTTGAGAGTAGAGTTTGTAATTGTTTTTAAATAAATAATTTTTTATGTTAAAATATATGTTGATAATTTTTATTTTATTTTTAAAAATTTTTTTTGACATCAGGACATCAAAATAATTTAAAAATACTAAAAATATATTAATTTTAAATAATTTTTTTTAAAAAAAAAATACTATTAAAACGCAAAATTAAACAGGCTAATTCTTTGAATTTAAATACCTTTTAGGTTGTTCTTAATTGCTTCTTCACCTGGTTCAATCAATTTTGATATGCATGATTTTTTCTATTTCATTATTCAGTTCTTTTATATGTTCTCCTCCCTCTTTTATTTGTTGTTGTTTGCATCTTTCTTTGGTTCCGCTATTATTGCCTGCTTTCTTGAATTTTTGGTTTGCATGGTCTCAAGCTAGGCAACCCTTAGCCTGCCTTTCTTTCCCTTTTTATTTCTTTTCAGATCCGTTTTGCCTGTAAAATACAAATAAGAGCGCCTGGTGTTTCATTCTCCGTGGAATTGGGCTGCATAGATAATTATGATAGTTATTTTTTAAAATGTTTTAATTTAAAAATATATTAAAATAATATTTATTTTATTTTTTAAAATTATTTTTACCATTAATACTATGAAAATATTAAAAAATATTACCTTAAAATAAAATAAATTTAAAATATTTTTAAAACATAAAAATAAAATAAAAATTAAAGAATTTTTCATCGTGGATTCATACAGCGTCGCGCATCGCTTTTTTCCATTCTCTCTGGGTGAGTTTTCCCTCCACCCGCACCCACTTTGAACGGGCTGCAACTGGCGGCTTGGTTTTTGGGTAGAATGGGTGGGAATTGTGGGGTGCTTGTATTGATTTGCATGTGTGTGCCCTTTCTGCGTTGAGGGGTCCCGTGTCCCGTGTCCCGTGTCCTGTCATGGGTTGTCTATTCTGCCTTCAGATGGGCAGCTCAAGTTGGGTGGGCTTCGATGCTTTGGTTCTGTGTGCTCGGCCATGTCCAGCTGCCAACCACTCAGTTTCTCAATTTTTCGTTGCAATTTCGTGGGAATGCAACCAGGGAGTTCGATTCCTTTGCCTTTGGTTTCCTTTCTTGCCATTTGTTCAGTCTCTTGCAATTTTGGTGGATCGAAACCAGGTTTATTTGCAATTTTAAAAAAATTACACCGTATTTCCATATAAAAATTTAAAAAATATATATTTATATATATTTTAAAATTTAATAATTAGTTTATTAAAGACATAATAACCAACTAAGAAGACATAAGAATCAAACTTATATTTAAAAAAATACCAAAAATTATTTTGTTTTCTATTAACCAAAAATACCAAAAATTTATATGTAATATACATTTTTTATATTAAATAAAAAGATAGTTTTTTTTATTTTTATATTGGCATTAGAAATTTTAGATTTTTTTATTTGATAAAATAAATATTTCCTTACTAAGAAGAATTTTTCTCAAATTTATGATAGATTTAAGATTAAAAAACACAACAATACCTTAATTTATGTTAAACAAATAAACAATACAATTTACCTTATATAAAATATATTAAAATATTAATACTTTTATTTTATACAATTAATTTTCTTACTCAAACTTTAAAACAAGTTAGATTTTTTAATAATCAATAAATTAAATAGCAACTCTCATTTCCCTCTTTTTACATACAAATAGCAAGAATTTTTTATTCTTCAATCTTCAACCATTCCTGACTCGAGCGGATGATTATTACGACGTCATCACGTGCGACAATAACCAGAAAATTTTAGGGTATTACAACAGCTTCAGCTTTTATAAAATAGACAATCAGGTTCTGGAATCCAAGTAATCTCACTCATATTGCATCTAATATATATACAATCTTTCAAGGTAATGGAGGAAAGATACGGGAATGTGAGGAAATAACAGAATCCTGCATATACTTGTTGGGACGGTCGGGGTCTGGAACCCAAGAAATCTCACTCATATTCGGGGTCTCCACAAAAACCATGGTGAATTCTCCCACCTTCTTTATAGCTCCTCTCCTGCCAGCTCTCAAAACAAGATTGTTGTTCCTGTTGTAAGAAAAGATGCCACTAGCCAG